ACTTTTCTCCGGATCCTACAAATACAAATGTTGCATGTAATGGACTGCACTTTTTATAACTAACAAAAAAGGCAATACGGTGCACCTCACATTCACGCAGGGTCCGAGAAAGGGTTGCATCCCAAGGGTGTGACGTAAACGGCCTACCCTAATACAAGCATTAGTGGTTGCTTCCACGACTCGAACCCATAACCTATAGTTCACACAGAGACAATTTTACCGTTGTTCCAAGGGCTTCCTCTGCTTCTTTTGTAACTAACAATATAATTAATTTTTATACTGTCAATGTATTTAAATTTATTGTCACGTGTAAGATACATTATTTTTCATGTTACTAAATTCGTTTTTTATAGATAACTATTTGTAATTATGTTTTAGGTAACTAGATTTTATGTTGTTTTAGTGTATAAAAATTACTATACTCTTTTTTCTTCTCTCCATCTCTCTCTCTCTGCACATTCTTTACTACCAATACACGATGTGGCATAGTAAGGAATCCTTGTCACAAAAGTTGTACAACTAAGACTAGCTACAGACAACACATCTGTACTCCATTATTTATTAATGTAATCATTTAAAGCTTCTTCATCTGTGTATCATTACTCTATTGTTGGATTCTTGAAATTATTTCATTCCACAAAACTCTCTAGCCAGTTTAAACAAAAGTTCTCACTCTTTTATGAGCTGAAAAAATTGTTGGTATTTTGAGGTTTTTTTATAGCTTTGATTTCTCTTTTCTGCTAAAAAGAGAAAATGAGGAACAATTCCCAGTTTCCTTTCATTCTCTTATTTCTTGGTCTGTTTTTGTTTTTATTATTTCCATCTTCTTCTGCTCAGTTAGTTCCAGCTGAAAATAGAATCCTTTTCCAAATTCAACAATATCTTGAATTTCCACCAGTTTTACAAAGTTGGAATAATTGGACAAATTTTTGTTACCTTCCTAAATCTCCATCTCTTGTTATAACTTGTTCTGGTAATCATATAACAGAATTAACAATTGTTGGCAATAAAAAATCCCCTTCTCAAACTTTAAAATCCTCTACTCCTCAAGCTTTATCTGGTAAATTTTCCATTGATTCATTTTTCACTGTTGTTACTAAACTTTCAAGTTTAAAGAAATTGTCATTAGTTTCACTTGGATTATGGGGTCCATTACCTGCCAAAATTAGTAGATTTCACTCACTTGAGGTACTAAATATTAGTTCAAATTTCATTGTTGGTGATATTCCATCATCAATAGTAAAATTCAAGAATCTAAAATCTCTTGTTTTAGCTAGAAATTTGTTTAATGGATCTGTACCAGATTTGAAAGGGTTAGTAGCAATTCAAGAATTGGATTTGAGTAACAATCATTTAGGACCTAAGTTTCCATCTATAGGAAATAATATTGTTACACTCAATTTGAGTAACAATATTTTCAGATCAGAAATTCCTAATGGACTCAACAAGTTTACTCATTTGCAAATTCTTGATTTCTCTTCAAATAAACTTGTTGGTCCAATCCCTTCATTTCTATTTTCAATGCCAGAAATTCAATCCATTAATGTTGCTAAAAATCAACTAAGTGGTGCACTTCCAGCAAGTGTTTCTTGTAGCAATAAGCTTAATTTTGTCGATGTTTCGAGTAATCTTTTGATAGGAAAATTGCCTGTTTGTCTTGGATCAAGTTCAAGAAACAGGACAGTGATTAATGTTTGGAATTGTTTGTCAAGTACAAGTAGTACTAAGTATCAACATCCACATACATTTTGTGAAAAACAAGCATTAGCTGTTAAACCTATTCCAAAAACTCAAGATGAGAAGAAACAACAATCTACAATCAAACTTGGTGTTGTCATAGGATTAATTGTTGGCATTGTGGTAATAGTGAGTGCAATTGGATTGTTGATACTTTTCATTGTCAAGAAAGTTACAAGAAATAGAGTTCAAGGGTATAAGAATGATAGCTTTGCTTTTGAGAAGAATTCAACCCTTTCAAAAACTGTTGATGGAGGTAAATTTGTTTAATGAATCTTGAATTTTTATATTTTAGATTGTAGTTTAATCAATATTATTATTAACTTGATTTTGATCAGGGAATGCAAGGAGGACAATGAGGTTGACATCATTAGGATTGCCACCATATCATGTTTTCACTCTTGAGGAAATGGAAGATGCAACAAACAATTTTGATCCAACTAATTTGGTTGGAGAAGGTTCCCAGGGTCAGGTAAAATTATTGATTCATTATAAAAATGAAAAGAAAAAATAGGAAGAGATATTACTATCTCCGATCCATATTATTTGTCAAATTGAGTTTATTTCAAAATATTCAACATTTTAGAGAAGAAGGGGAGCCTAGGCGTAACTTGTAAAGTTGCTGCCATGTGACCAGAAGGTCATAGGGTCGAGCCGTAGAAACAACCTCTTACAGAAATGGAGGGAAATACTGTGTACAATAGACCCTAGTGGTCCGTCCCTTCCCCGAATCCCGCGCATAGCGGAAGCTTAGTGCACCGAGCTGTCCTTTATTCAACGTTTTAGAAAACAAGAAGCATTTATTATCTTTTTCCTAATTCACCCTTACTGCTCCGATTAGTTGAGCATTTATTAAGCGAGATTAAGGGGTGTGCAAAAACCTTAAAAGACGGATAATATGGACCGGATATAGTAATATGGATATGTTTGTCAAAAATCTTGGTGAATACAATCTTTTCTTTTTGACATGTTTTTTGAGATATGGGAATTGGTGTTTTATTAATGACAGCTATATAGAGGTTGGCTTAGAGATGGAGCAGTGGTCCTAGTGAAATGTCTGAAATTGAAGCAGAAGCATTCACCTCAAATTCTGCAGCAGCACATGGAGATGATATCAAAGCTAAGACATAGGCATTTGGTTAGTGTACTTGGACATTGTGTTGTCACTTACCAAGATCACCCAAATACAGCTAGCACTGTATTTATTGTGCTTGAAAATGTTGTCAATGGATCACTAAAGGATCATCTTAGCGGTAAGATATTGTTATCATTATTTTAATCGCATCCCTAAAACTGCAATCTGAACGATAAAGGGCTGAATTTATTTTCCGGAATTTGTTCTTTTGGCAGATTGGAGAAAAAGGGATGTATTGAAATGGCCACAAAGAATGGGAATAACAATGGGAATTGCAAAAGGAATCCAGTATTTGCACACTGGAGGAGTTACTGGAAATGATATAAAGCTTGAGAATGTTTTGTTGGATGAGACTCTTACTGCTAGAATAAGCTGTTATAACATATCTTTGCCTTCTAAGGTAATGCTAGTAATCACAAACTATACGAAAATCTTGCTCAAAACGCGTTATTGACCATCCAAAACTTTTACAGGTTGGTTCTGAAAGTCCTCTTGCTGGACCGGACCAGTTAACCAGGTACACTTTCACGGTTTCACCTCCGTTTTCTCTTTTTTTCTTTGTTTTCCTGATATCATTTCCAAATTGCCTACTAATATAAACTTCATATTCAGCGCGAAAGAAGCAGAAAAGGAAGACATCTATCAATTGGGAACAATTCTACTAGAGGCTATTACTGGTAGGCCAATCAACTCCCAAAGTGAAACAGAAGACCTTAAGCTTCAGGTAACAATACTAAGACCCTAATAACTCTCAAAACATAGAACTATGTGAGCCTAGTCTATTTAAGACGAGTTTAAGTTTTATGTACTGATAGTACAAAAATTATGTACACAGTCGGGTAACTAATTGATAACTTAGTAAAAATAATAGTTAACCTGCTTACATTCACTGATAGTGTAAAATATCTTTTACGCTGTCAGTGTATATAACTTAAATCCGTCTGACACCCTCAAAACCGAAATTGCGTCTTCTATGACATGCAGGTGGAGACTTGCTTAGCGGAGTCACCATCAAAGCTACGAGATTTAACAGATCCTTGTATTCGCGGTACATTTGCATATGAATCGTTGAAAACTATGGTCCAGATTGCAGTAAACTGCCTTGAAAAAGAACCGAGCAGGAGGCCATCAATTGAAGATGTTCTTTGGCATATGCAATACTCAATTCAGGTTCAAGACGGAGCAACTAACAGTGGAAACCTCAGCGGGAACCTCAGTGGGAAAATCAGTGGAAACCTTAGCAATAAGTTTTACTGATTAGAAATCTAGCATGGTATTGTTTTTACCTTGTTATAGTCATTTGTATGCCTCCTGTATAGCGCAGTTCAGTAGCTTACTGAATAACTGTTTTTGTTATCTCCATCAGAATAGTACCCCAAGTATACAAAGCATATATTGTTAGTTGAGAATCTATACTGGGATCTCGGAGAAACCTTGCTTGCATCCGGTGTTTACACCAACTTAATGCGTACCAAAATGTGCCTTCTCATACATTAAAAAGCCAGTTCGGTGTACTAAGTTCCCACTATGTGCAGGGTCCGTGGAAGGGCCGGATCATAAGGGTCTATTGTATGCGACCTTACCCTTCATTTCTGGAAGCTATTTTCACGGCTCGAACCCATGACCTCCTGGTCACATGGCAACAATTTTACCCGTACTTTCTCATACATTGTTATCACTAAATCATAGTTAATTAATACATATTCTTCCCTCAATTTTTCACTTAACCATGGTAAATGAATATAATCTGTTGTGAACACCGAGTGTGTCATGGTATGCTTGGAACATCAAGAGTAGATATGTATTCGAAGTACGGTTAGCCATAGGTCATAGCTCAGCACCCCCCCACCCCCCACCCCCCACCCCATGAAACCGCTTTGCTGCAATGGATGGCAGAGGGTCCGTAGTACCCGAAAGCACTGGAGTGATCCAGCAGCGGGAAAGGGGCCTAGAAGTGCCTACTATTACGCCACACTACACTTGGTTCTACACTGTAAAGAAATCGAGATATTTCAGAACCGTCTGTTGACACGGTTAAAGTAGAATAGTAAGAAAAAACAAGCTGTTGCAGTGACGTAAAGAAAAATCATGAACATGTTAAACTGGCTGGATCTTGTGTTTTATTTGGCATCTACTCACACACATCTTGCTTATTCACCAGCAGATGCATCATTCCGCCAACGTTTCTTGTGCAGAAAAACCAAAATAGTTATCAAAAAACTTTGGTGGTTCGAAGATGAAGCAAGAGATGACATCTCTGAGTGTAATCACGCCAATAACTTCATTATCTTCATCAGCTGTGACATATATCCTGTGAACTGACATGGAAGCAAGAATGTCTATCACATTACCAAAAGTTGAATCAAGCTTGCATGTTATCGGTGTAGCAACCTTACTAGGTTCATGGGTTGCTGAAGAAACCGTGTTCATAAAATCCTCTACAGTCAATTGCCTGCAATCAGGATGGCGAAATTCTAATGCCATTATAGCGACAGATAGGAAATATGAATGAGCTATTATGATAAGGCTTTAACTTATATACACTGATCAATGTATATTAACTTGTTGTAACATGTAACCTGTCTTATTTTCTGTGCTAGTTATCTCACATTTTAAGGACGGATACCTATACATAGTTGTTTAGGTGACCTGATAATATATCGATAAAGAAATGGACATTGGGCCTAACTTAACCGCCAAAGCTAGCTCATGATGTGAGGATTTTTCAAGACCATCGGTGGGATAACTCAACATTTTTCATGATATTATGCATGGATTAGGTATATCATGGCGGATTCTTCAGAAACTCTTATGATTAGTTCTCATCATAGTAAAATTGAGAATTGACTTAATGTGTGAGTTTATATGGATATTACTGTCTGATTTCATAACATAGTTATGAGAAAGTTTCACTAAAATGGGGACTCTAGTAATCTTTGAGATGATCAGATATATCAAGAAGAACAAAGTTGACACTAAAATATACCTGAAATTGGAGAAGAGCTCAGGCTTAAGTAACAAGAATCTGATGTCTCTTATGCTTACATTGCCAACAATCTTCTTTTTTGGCCATTGAACAACTGGAAGACCTCCAATGTTGTTATCTCTCATTTTCTTAAATGCTTCGAAAATCAGTTCATCACTTCCGATGCTAATAACCTGGTGCATATGTGAAAAAATCACGAACTTTGCATCGTCATTTTCTGTATTATCAGAAAGATTAATACTATCCTTAGCTATGAAATAGCTAACCTCATCAGGGGACATGTAAGGGAGACCAAGATCCGATATAGGAAGAGCAGAAGTAGTGTCAAACCAATCCCTCCCTTTGCATCCTTCGAGGCCCTGTATCACAGCCGATTGAGTTATGAAGCTCTTAAGGAATGGCTTTCCCATTTCAATCACGGGTACAGTCCGCAGCCTATACTTTGATAGCAGCAGCATGACAGTCAACATAGAACTATCTTTAGCTACTGGTACAAAAGGTGCCCTGCGGTGGGATTTTACAATTGACTCCACCTGCAAAAATAGGTGCACGGGTCGTCATACTACAACAACTATGCCTCAATCCTATGCAAGTCAGGGTCGACTATATGAGTCCATACTGACCATGTCACTACAATTAAGCTCATCTTGGACCAATATTACACACGAATCAATATATTTCAGTCTTGAACCATTGACCCAAGTAAACTTTGGGTGGATTGGGCCATTGACCCGTCTATTAACATGACCCCTTTTGACCCGCCTAAATTTGACCTAGTCCGCCCATTTGCCACTCCTATTTCAGACTAATGACTGAAGTTCATGACAGGGGTACGATTTCTTGTACTCAACTTGATTAAATATTTAATGAACTTTTGGTCTATTAAACTATCCGACTGAAACACTAGAAGCTTAAGGGGATTCTTTTTGCAAGGGCAGCTTACCATTGTTGATATAAAGGGTTCTTCTTGAAGTATAACTTTGTAGAAGTCCTCGCCTAACTTATCTGCTGCAGTTGGAGCATCATTTCCTATTCCTCTTTCTGCAGCAACACCAACTGCTACGGCTGCACCAACTGCTGCAACAGTTAGGCCAGCAGCAACAGCAGGACCTGCTGTGCTGCTCAATGCTAGTGCTCCAAGAGTACCAGCAGCACTTACACGAGCTCCGGCAATTGCGGCTGAATTGGCCAATAGGGCTTCTGCTTCTATCTCTGCATTCTCAAGCACCCAAAGAACAATAGCAGAGTAGTCAAGTATTCCCAAGTATCTTTCTCTCCAGTCATTACCATCCTGGACAGCTGAGCTCCTCACAGGAGCTGATAAAATGTTGGATTCAGAAAGAATTTTGACAGCATTGCTAATTGAAGTGTCTGCATCTATTTCGATCACTGGAATGACGTAGCAAGAAACCTTTCAGGGTGCAAGAAAAGATAATCTATTATTAGTATCCCCTAAGTTTCATATTATGTGAATGAATACGGAATTTAATAAGTAAGAACGACTTTAAAAACCTGTAGTCTTAATCATGCAATGACACGATGCATTATTAAAAGGTACAACATTCTTTTTTGAAAAGACTAAAAAGGAAATAGGGTTACATAAAACGAAACAGAGGGAGTAACTAATTCAAAGCTGACATATGTAGGAACACCTGGAATTTTTGCAAATGCAGCTGTTAAGGATTCCTGCAATTTATGGGGCAGTTTCTTTCTGCTTTGGACCATCTCAAAGTAAGCATCAGAGCTTGCAAGATGTGAACTCTTCTCTGTAATTTGTGATTGTGCCATTTTACTGCATTATATTCAAAGATGATCAATTGGTTTAAAAGAACTGGAAAGAAAATGATAAAATGGACAAAGAAAAAAGAAATGCCTAATCCAAGAATTTACCTCTCTGTTTCTGCAACACATTTGTTGTCTGAAAGATCTGTGTGTGAGAACTGACAAGTTTATATTGTGTGGTATGGTACTTTGTGTTACTTCCAAGTTCCAAGAAATATTGGCAGTTATTTAGCTGGTTTCTATAGCTCTGCCACGTGTGAGGTTTTACTCGACGTGGCAATGGACTTGCAATTAGAGTTTATTGGCTACTGGGTTCAATTTCTTTTTTTTTTTTCAATAAAGAAAATATTCAGTTGGTTATTTGTCCTGAAAAAAATTAGTTGATTATTTGACCAATTTATTGTAGTAGTGTTTAATAGGCTTCAAATAATAACTTTGTAATAAAACAACTTTTTTATAGGATGGTTACGCGGATCTATTGCCTAACGTGAACTAAGTATTTTATGTACATATTTCTTAGAATTAATTTAATATTAACCGTTGGCCCCTATGCTTCAGAAAGCTTTAGTGGTGCACTTGATTAATATTGAGGTATTTATCCAAAAATATGTCGAGTTTCCTTTCTCAAAATTGCAAGGGCGAAACATGTTCAAGTACCTCAAAATTTGAAATTGTTTACGCAATTACAAAGAAATGTAGTAGAATTTACAGAAATAGAAGAAAGAAGAAGACATAGAGTAGGAAGGAGAAGATCTTTCTGTTATTCATCTTAATGAAGAAATGAGAGTACAAGTCATAGATATAAAGTTTATAGGTACCGTGGGAGGAATTAACTAATACTAAACTTCCTAACTAACTTCTAACTAACTTATTATTATTAACGGATATAACAAGTAATGACTAAACTAACCCCTTCTTCATTGTTATGTAATACCTTTTCTTTTTACATTCCATCAAGCTAGGTAGTGCAAAAACATTATAAATTCAAACTAAGGTATCCATGTTGAACTTTGTTGAGCCATATAGTTAAGAAGCCAGCCGGTGGTTCTGTGGTTGGAATGTACTTAGTTGTGATAAGTTCTTGTAGTATTTTTTTTCTCAGATGAAGAGACAATCAATTCCGATATGTTCGGTTCTCTCATGATATACTGGATTGGCTGCAATCTGCATAGCAACTTTGCTATCACTATAAATATCAATAGGTAGTTTGCTTTGAAAATCAACTTCTTTCAATAAGCCAATCATCCGGATTAGTTATGCAACTGTGGCAACAATGCTTCTATATTTTGCCTCTGTTGAGCTTCTTGACACAGTTGTTTGCTTCTTAGATTTTCATGAAACTAAAGATTCTCCAACTTTAATCATATAACCTGTAACAAATTATTTTGTATGTGGGCAGGAAGCCCAATCAGCATCACAATATCCCATGACTAAATTGCTGATGTTACTAGATAGTAGTAGTGTTTTAAAAGGCGTGAGCGTAAGGCGAGGCATTTTACATATGCCTCAGCGAGGCATACGCCCCGAGGCACGGGGCGTAAGCCCCATAGGTATTTTATTTTTAATATTTTATAAAATAATATAATTACAGTAAATATCTATAAATAGGTAAAATTGCATAAAAAGTGAAGAAAACTATAAATATGTGAAATATATATGTGTGTGTGTGTGTAGATGTGCTCCATCCCCACAAAAAACTAGTCAAAACAATTTATTATACGCTACTTAAAAGTACAAGTAACTTGAGTCTAAAAGAATAAAGTTTTCTATATGGAGGAACAAAAAGGATGACTAACCTGCAATTTGAACTTTGAACTTGCTGCTATGAAGGAGAATGGAGTTCTCTTTATATTTGTAATTTTTTTTGAATATTCGTTACTTTTGGGAGATATTATTAGACTAGCGAACAAGATAAATAATTGGGAAAGACCATGAATTAGGGCTTCAATCAATAAAAAGGTCTTGACTTTTAAATTTAATACATTTCAGTTCCTTTTTAAAACTTTTGAGTAATCCCAAGCTGAATTTCGAGAATTTGGGTATTATATGAAGGACTTATTCAATAAATTTTGTTTTAATTTGAAAAAGGTCTCTAGGGCTTACGCCTCACTGAATAAAATGCCCCTCAAACGCCCGGGCGTATGCCTCTTGATACTTTCGCCCCACACCATCACCTCGGGGCGTTTTTGGTGCGCCTCGCCCCAAGGCTCGCCCCGAAATTGACTTTTAAAATACTGGATAATACAATTCCTTGGCCATGCTGTTTTTTCAGATATCTTACAGTTCTAAGTGCAACTTCCATGTGAGATCTTTTAGGATTTTGAAGGAACCGACTGAGAGTCTGAATACTAAAAGATATACCAGGTCGAGTCACGGTAATGTACATCAACTTACCTATCAGTCTTTGATAAGGAGTGTGATCCTCGAGTTCTTTATCAACAGTGAATGGGTCTAATTTAGACATCTTGATACAATCATCATATTCCTTTGTTGTGAGCTTTATGTTGTAATCTAGAGGTGTGATAGCAGGTTTAGCAGCTCCTAGTCCAGTTTCAGAAATAAGTTCTAATGCATACTTCCTTTGGTGCATTAGGATACCTTGTTTGGACATGGCAAATTCAATGCCTCAGAAATGCTTTAGCTCACCTAAGTCTTACATTTTGAAAGCCTTCTGTAGAGCAGTTTTGGTATTTTGTATCAAGTTGAGACGGTCTCCTATGATAAACATATCATCAACATAGACTAACACTACAGTGATACTTTCTGAAGTCTTCTTGAAGAAAAGAGAATGATCAAACTGACTTTGCTGAAATACATACCTCAATAAAGCTTATGTTAACTTAGCATTCCATTGTCTCGGAGCTTGTTTCAAACCATATAAGGATTTAACAAGTCGACATTTGCATGTAAATTTAATTGTAGAGATCCCCTTATAGAAGGCATTGTGTACATCTATTTGATGTATAAGCCACTGTTTTTGTGCAATAATAGCAAGTATTGTTTCTAACTGTCTTTATTTTAACTACTGGCTAAAAGTTTCTTGATAATCAATGCCCTGTCTAAATTCCTTTGCTACTAACCTGGCTTTGAATCTTTCCATTTCCCCTGAAGCTTTGTACTGTATCTTATAGATCCATTTTCATCCTATTGGATGTTTGCCTTCTGGTAGGTTGATTATGTCCTATGTATGGTTGTCTTATAATGCTTTAATTTCACCTTTCATTGCTTCTATCCATCTAAGATCCTTGATAGCCTTTGAGTAGCTTGTAGGCTCTATGGTTGAAGACATAGCTGTAGTGTAGGCTTGACATTTAGGTGATATATATGTAATATACTTAGACAATACATAGGGTATGTCTTGATGAATGTTTTGAGAGACAAAGTCTCTTAGCTAGAGAGGTGGCCTTTTTTCCCTTTGTGACTTTCTGAGCCCATCTTGATCTGTTGAGATTATAGTGGTAGGAGGTAGTTGAATAGAAGATGACATAGTTAGTGGTTGAAGTTCAGTGGTTTGATCCAACTGACTTAATTCATCTGGTAGATCCATGAGTTCTATTTCTGAATTAAATTCAGCTGGTTGGTCAAAGAATCCAGGAGTAGCAGTATCATGATTCTCAGTTGTTTCAGTGATCCTCTGATTTAGAGTTGTAGGTGGTTGACCACTTATTTCATAGAAAAGTTTGTGGAAGTTGTTGTGTTGAGTGAATATGGTGGTAGATGTTCTTTGATGTTGTTTGAATGGGAATATATCTTCCCTGAAACAAACATCTCTAATTACAAAGAAAAACCTGTTTTCCAGATCATACAGTAAGTATCCCTTATGTTCAGCTGCATATCCCATATGTAATGTCATTTTTTATCTTGGCACCATTTTCTCATGTTCCCAGACTATCTTTGTATAAGCTAGACATCCCAACTCTCTTAGATGAGTTAGAGCAGGCTTTTTTTCAAACACCTCTATTTTGCCCGGAGCATTGGTTTCCCATAACGCATAGGCTAGCTCTATCTCTCAACACCTCTCATAAGGTGTCTGATTGTTTATGACTATGCTTGGTAGTCTATTGATCAAGTAAACTGCAGCTAAAATACAATGCCCCCAGAATTTGATTCGTATGTTTGCTTGAAATCTGATTGCCCTTGTGACTTCCAGGATATGCCTGTGCTTCCTCTCAGCAACTCCATTTTTCCGAGGTTAGTAAGAACATGTTTTTAATGAATAGTTTCTAGATTGTTAAACATGGTTTCACATACTAAATTTACAAATTCAGTACCATTATCTATTCTGATTACTTTGATTAGCTTATCAAACTGGGTTCTAACAAATACAATAAACTTCTATAGCGTAATGCTCACAACAGACTTCAATTTCAAAAGATATATCCAAGTAAATCTAGTGTAGTCATCAAACACTGCTAAGAAGTATTTATTTCCATTAGTTGTAGGTATTTTGTAAGGCCCCGCAAATCAACATGCACTAATTCAAAACAAACAGAATTTTTTGTATTACTGATTGGAAAAGGAAGCCTTGTTTGTTTTTCACATGGACACACAGTACATTTATCTACTCTTTTAGCTATTATTTCAGTCTTTATAGATAGTAGTTTCTTGAGTACTGAGGCTCATACATGTCCAAATCTTTTATACCATAGATCTATATCTTCATTTGTCTTGATTTCAGTGATAACATGACGCTCTTTTGCTGCTAACATGGCTTCATCACTGATTCTAACTGGTTGACTGTCTCCACTTAGAATGTATAATACATTGTCTTCTCTATCAATCTCTCTCATCTACCTATTGAAGAGATCCTGAAAAATACAAAAAGCAGGAAAAAATGCTACTGAGCACTTTAGTTCTTTGGTGATCATAGAGACTGATACTAAATTGTACTTGAACTGTGGTACATGAAACACATTTGTTACTGTGATTCTATTAGTGATATTACTGGAACCAGTGTGAGCCACATGTGTAATATCTTCATTAGGTAGGAACACTTTCTTTGGATATTCTGGTTGCATAACGGAGGCTTTGTTTAACAGACTTGTGTCATCTACCATATGATTCATATCACCAGTGTCGATTATCCACTCTTGTAGACTAGTAGAAGCTAAACAAGTTGTGTGAATAGCTGATGCATTAGCTGTAGAAGAAGTCTGAACTATTACTCCTGAAGCTTTATTCAATTTCTCTGTAGGATTTGATCATACTGTTTTTTTGAAAAAGTCCAACTTGTTATTGGAGGTTACCCTTGTTCATTCAGCTGAATAGTCGGTCCTTGTCCCATATTGTAATTGAACTTTCCTATGTCTGAATTTGTATACATTAGCATCCGGTTGAATGAATTTACTGATGCTTGAAATTGATTGGCCTGGGAGTTGACATCAGTTGAACCATTGTAACTTGTATTCCTGATGTGTGGATTGTTTTCAGTCATCACATTGCATGCTGCATTTCCAACTCTCTCTTTCTTCATATTCTTGAACTCAGGGGGGTACCCCACAATTTTATAACAATTTTCTTTGCTATGTCCTTTCATTTTGCAGAAATCACATTGGATATTATAGTTCTTCTTGAACTTTTAATTTCCTCCATGTCCAGTTCTGGTATACATAGCCATATCATAATGATTTGTAGAGATGGCTGGATTTGCACCCAATAGTCCTGAAGCAGCAGCAACAAACTTTTGACTTTCATCACTGATGATTAAGGCATAGGCTTGATTAATAGTTGGTGTAGGACTCATCATCAAGCTAAAATTTGTATTGTGAATGTTATATTCTTCATCAGAATTTTTTGGTCCTTGTACTCTATCAAAGTGGTTAGATTTATATATTAGGTGAAACAGGCTGTGGCTTCTTATGTTATATGCAGCCTTATGGAAGTTTTGTTTCAAGTTACGTTTGCTATCTCCCACATTTCCTCCCCTTGCTCCATGTCTGAAAAAAGAAAGCTATAGAGGGAAAAAAGAACTTTTGTAGTGCAGGACTAGAAAGATTTACGAGAAGGGAAAAGTATTGCAACTTTGTAGATAACATCTTGGTGTTTAGGTGTAATATCTCCATCCATTCCTCATCCTGAATGGACCGATCAGCGACTCAGTGTTGACTCTCACAAGATCAAGAGAAAAGAGCGTGAACAGGTTCCTATATGTTGTTCCTAGAGTTATATTGAAATAATACTCCTAGTAGGAAGATGTGAAAAGAGTAAAGAAATGTGATATTATCCATTCATACTCAAAATCATGCGAAGAGATTTTGGTGGCGTTCCGTTTAAAGAGAATATGTCAATCTTTTCTGGCAGACCAAGGTTGGTAGCAGGGTAAATAAAATATAGGAGAGCTTAATGCAAGCTTAGGTTTCAAGTTCTGATACTTTTTCCGGAAGCATTCTTGTTGAGTTGAAAGGAGAATGTGTTTTTATAATTTCCTATTATTGTCTCTATCTGGTTTCTATCTGCAATTCTTTCGCTTCATGATTACCCATTATATACTGAATCAAAGATCTTAATTTGATGCCAAGTGATAAGATCTCATTACTATGACTTGGTGAAGAGAATCTCTATCTATGGGTTAAGGTTGCCGGAATTGGGTTCAGAATTCTGAATGACCAGATGAGCCATTAGTAAATTCTGATGGACTAGGTAACGAGTCTAATGAGAAGGATAAGATGAAACAAATTCGTATTCGGCAAAGCGCATGTGATAATGCTAAGTGAAAACCTTCATTCGATATCATTCAAATATAAATCTTCGATGAGAGTGCTATGTTTATGTTTCCTTGGCGTCTGTGATTGCTTGTTTTCCAGATGATTGCTCATGTGCTGTTAGAGGTCAATATTATTGCCATCGTTATATATTGCATTTACTACTTCTATATGATTAAACTCTCTTTTAGGGTTTTAAATGTAAAATTATATTAACTCTGATGTTCCAAAATTACATGTTTCCATGCCTGTTCGAGAGAATTATCTGGCCATTTAGGATATCCTCTGTGAGATGGCTATGTCACATTTTTGTTTCCCACAATATCCATCTCTCTCATGGATTGTTGTTCTTTATTATTTTTGTTGAAGTAGCTTGGTTTTTTATTTTTTATTTTAGTCATCACTAGGTANTTTTCAGAGGTGTTTAAATTGAAGTAGTGGGGGAAAACACCTTGGTGTAGAGGTTTTGGTTTAATTTCCTTTAAGTCAACGTGAGAATGAATATCTGGCAGCCTTGATCATTTAAGGTCGAGATATTGTTAGAGGCAACTTGTGGCATTGCAACTGCAGATGTTCACATATGGTATGCAAGCCACCAATAAATCAACTACTACTATGTCTGTGTAATGCTACCGATCAGAATTTTCAACTGTAGTTTTCTCTTTTAGTAGGGAATTCACTTGATGTATATTGGATTCACAGGAGCATATTGCATTTTCTTGAATTAAGTGCGAGAATAAATATTTGTCTGCACACGCTAGAATTTTCTTTTGATGCCATTGACTTGATTATTATTTTAGCAGATCCCAATTCATTTGCTTCTGAATTAGTGTATTAACCTCTGCATTCTATATAATAGGACTTTATGATACTGTATTTGATGTTGACCATGACAAAGAGAGAGCACAACAGTGTGGTCTTGAACCAAATGGATTCAGCTTTGATGGAGCTGATGCTGTCAGAGTTGATTATGCTCTGAATAGGCAAGTATATTTTCTTTTTTCATTTAAGGTCTTTTAGTCTTTGCATTTTTAGCTATGTTGCTCCGACATGGCAATTCATGTATTGCATGGTTACTCATTATTCATTTTTTTATGTGACTGAAAAAAATGTAAAACATGGTGCTACTATATGTTATCCTAGTATTTGTTCTTCTTGACAAAAGATCAAAGTTTAATTTCTATCTAAGTATAATTTTTTTTATGTGTAGGATAATATGGGTGATGCTACTGGAAATGGTGGCGGAATGTCAATTTGATCTTAATGTGAATGCGAAGAATTATTGGATAATTAGGATGTCTAATATTCATGATACTATATGAATATACTCACTTTTGTAAAGTTTATTGTTAATGGGCATTTTGATTCATTGTTTTGTTAGTATGTGTATTCATTTGAATTATTATTTTTTGGTACTTATTAGCTAATTTAGTTCTTTATATCATCAAAATATGTGATAATAATGCATATGCTTGAAATAATTGTAATTACAGGATATTATGCAAAATGTAAATTTATAAAAAGGATTTAAAATATAAATTGTATACTCTAGCCAATTTGCCACGCTTTAAAAGTGTTACCATATGTTTGTACATTATGTTTTGTAAGTGTTCCTTTAGAGCCACGCTTAACAAGTGTGGCCTATAAGATAACAAATGCCACACTTTCCGAGTGTAGCTGTAAGATATAAAAGCGTTCTTATATGGGGTGTAATAAGCGTTGTCTTTGATATCTAATAGCCCACGCTTTTAAGCGTGGCTGGTAAGGCAACAATTGAAAAGCGTGCCCTTAGGTCAAAGGTTACGCTTGTTTTGGCCACCCCAATAAAGCGTTGCCTAAAGTTGAAAAGTGTGGCCTTTAATCAAAGGCCACACTTTTTGCTAGTTTAGGTCACACTTGTTCGGGGTGGTCGTAGGCCTAAAATGTTGTAGTGCATGAAATTGTATATGCAATTACAGAGAAATGCAGTAGAATTTACAGAGACCGAAGAAAGAAGAAGACATAGAGGAGGAATGAGATGATCTTTCTGTTATTCATCTTGATGAAGAAATGAGAGTACAAGTCCTATAAAATCTATAAGTACTGTGAGAGGAATTAACTAACGTACACTTAACTTCCTAACTAACTTCTAACTAACTTGGATGGAAAATTCTCTTCCCATTTTAAATTTTTGCTAGAGTTCTCTTCAAGAAAATTATTTTCTCGAATACAACCCATTCCGAACAATTGTATTAAAGAAATTGCAGCAACGATTCAACGAAGACTGATACAAGACTCGGGTCCTTAGAAATGCCATGGTTGATGCAGAAATCTTTTTCATCGGAAAATTATACTGTACAAAATAAAGTGGAAGAATTTTTTTTTTGTATTTATAAATTTTTGATTTTCCTTAACATAAACAAAGATTCTAGTTTAGTGACAAAAATGGTTCAAAATTTACTTTAGGTTACGGGGTCAAATCCTAGGTTCGACACTTTTGTACTTTTTTTTAATCCAATTGATAGAATTTCTAGCTTCACCACTGTCCTCGACAGTCATATTATGAGTGTTGTTGGAAGTGAGGGGCTGATAAAAGGATGGCCTCCCAAGATATGAACCGGCTCCAACTTGGCTTTTGAAATTATTGCATAATGCAGTGTAGGAATTAATGAAGGAAGAAGAAGGAGGAGTTGATGATAGTGTGGAGAAATTTAGAGAAGTGGAAGAATATCTTTGAGAAGAGAATGTATGAGTAGATGATGATGTTGTTGTAGGAACAGTAGTGAAATCAAGAGTGATTGTAGGGTGTGTTTGGGATGTGGAAATGGAAGTTTTTGGTGCATGTGTGGCTAATAAGTTAGTATTTGAAGTGGTGAAGTTGAATCCATGCAGATTATTATTATTATTATTAGCATTTGTTATCCCTTGTTGTGATGTTGAGGAGGATGTGCAATTTAGCATAGAGGCAGCAGCAGAGGTGGTGGAAGCCATGGCATTAGCTGAAAATGGAAGGGGATGATTGTGTGTTCCTTCATAGGTTGTGATCAATATGGTCATGTCTTCAAAGCACCTTTGAACCTGTGTTGAATCACAAAATATGATTATTGCATAAAGTTTAAGTTTGACGTACTGTAGGTGTAAAATATATTTACAAAATTAAACCTCAATAATAAACGTTAATTGATAACTTAATAAAGAAATACTCGACGTTATTACCTGTTTTCTTACAGGACAGGATGGGGAGACAGTGCAACGGTAGTATGCCCTAGGACATGGATTCCCTTTTGCTATTTTTTGTCCATATTTTCTCCATTGACATCCATCATTCATCTGCATTTATTTAATTTGCAAGTTGGGTTTAGATTTGCAATTCTATCACATTTCATCTAATTTAATGAGTTCAAAATTTACTATTTGTACATATTTAATAATTTTTTGAGCAAAAATACAGGGTGTGAGCGAAAGCTATATATGAGTTCAGCTGAACCTATAGCTTCTACACTAAATACGCCTCTGACTGGGCACCAACATATTTTGTTGCTAATTGTAATCTAGTACAAATTTCATCCATCTCATTTTAAGTGATACTACCAGATTATTGGACAAACATTTATATTACAAGTGTAGTGGTAGAAGAATGATCTTAAAATAGTTATTGCAGAATTAGTCAGTGCTTCCTAAATTTCAATATTCAGTTCAATTTTTTGGTACAAAAGTGTTCTAAACTGTCCTGAAGATAAGATTTTTAATTTAAAATTTCAGGACAAAATAATTACTGGCTAATCTCTAAACAGCATTCCTGAAAATGGCTATATGTGTACTTACTCCGATTTTCTTTATAGACAATTTCAATGAAGCATATTGACTGATTACTTACCGTAGTAGTGTCACACACAGCTTTTATAGATACCCTAGCCTTCTTTTGAGGGTTCTGCTGCAGAAAATCTTCATCTTCATCCCCACTAATTCTTGCCATTTTTGAACTAAGATAATTTTGTTGACATGGTTCATGACTTATCATATGCTCCTTCTTTGACTCCTCAAAACTATTTTCTTGGCTATCATCATAATTTTTCGTGACTTCAGTAAAATCTGGACTAAATCTGCAGTCCAAACCCAGCTCAAGCCCATCAAATAATTTACTTTGCTTTTTAATATCTTTACACTCATTTTGATCATATTCTTTTTCGTCTTGCTTGAACTCTCTTGAACTTCTCCCTAGGCTCAGTGAAACAAGGTCCACTTCTTCTTCTTGTTCAATACTTGTTGCAATAATATCCTTTGAATTTTGAGGTTTATGATCAGGTTGAGATATGCCTTGAAAATGCATTTGTAAGGATTTGTAATCCTTCATGATTTTAGATAGCATGGACTTAAGTCTTTCGTTTTCTTCTTTTGCTTCATCAATCTGAGATTTTGTTGAATTTAGCTGATCCTCCTGATAAAACATGTGCACGAGTTAGCACCAAATTAGTTATACTAGGATTCAAACTAAAATTATATATATTGCATTCAAGATTATTTTTATGATCTATTCATAAACATGATATTTATGTAATTATATGTGCATGTTTTGTGATATATTTAGGAGTCATGCCCCATGAATAAGTTTTAGCGACAAGACTATTCTCAAGTCACCTAGTGGTGACTCTTTTACTTTCACGATGACTTTAATCGCCACGAATCATATTTCTTATAGTGATAGTCAAAGTTCATAGGTTGGTCAGACTTAAATTAAAGTTTGAATGATAGACTCTTTATAAATATCCGTTAATAATGGTAATTAATTCCATAACTATTGGGTACAAATGAGCAAGCTAATCAACCTTTTAACTAAATGTATACCTGATTCTTTTTATTGGCTAAGGAAGAGTCTCTTGAATTGGTATTCATGGTAGTTGTTAGAGTTGCCTGCATGAACATGATATTTTAATTTGGACCCAAAGAATGACTAATTAATACAGATGAAATGTGAAATGATGTGCTTTGGTGGGGGGGGGGGGGGGGGGGGTTAATAGTAAAGGACAAACATGTCATTTTGGCTCAAAATATTAGTCCACTCTTTAGCACTAGATCTATTATAAATGAAAGAAGTTATTGACCAAGTTTTATACAGTAGTTGTTTTCTTCTGGAACTGGTGACCAGTCCAAGTTGACTAAAGTATCTCTCAAGAATATAATAATACAAAGTCGAGACTTGAGAGTTGAGACGACCACATGGTGAAATCTCAGTATTAAATAATATAACTCTGACCGATGACTACTAAATAATTCACTAGTTTGCACATAATTCCAGGCAACTTGCTCATATTTTTTATTTATTAGAAAAAGAAAGAAAGAAAAGGAACTCTCCTTTAGCTAGATCTTCTCTTTCTCGTCCCTATTGTCTCTTTTTCATTATCCCTAAGCATTTCGATCCACATTTATATATGTAAAATATAGAATATATTTCACCAAGGATTTTTATAAGAAAATTACTTCCACTAGTTGCTGATATATTTATATATGTAAATAGAGGTATATTCACATTTATATATGTAAATATAGAGTGCATATATATAGAGATATATTCACCTAGGATTTTTAGTAGAAAATTACTTCCTTCCTATGAACATGACTTCTTAATTAAGATAAATTGAGCGAAGATCTTCACGCATGAAATCTTAAAATAAAAACCATATATGTCGATGATTTACACAGCTCCATTTGATTGTATCTTCAAAAACAAATGATAATTTGTAATGAAATCCTGCAACTTATTCATATTAACAAATGATGGATAAAGAACATAAAATAAAAATTAAGAAAAAGAAGAAGAAGACTGCATACATAAAGATGATCATATAACAAGAATCAAAAGATGATGAAATTTATGAAACCCAAAGCTCTTAAAATTACACGAAGAGTTTACGTTACGTAGATCGTACGTCAATTTAATGAATTTTTATACTTCTAGTAGATAACTTGTCTTTCGTCGAGATAGATGTTTATAACCTGTAGATAATCTTTAGATAACCTGATAGTCTAAATAATTCATTATACTCATAATTTATATAACTTAAACTCTTATACGAATCTTATAATTCTTACCTTGATCTTGGTAGTAATAGAATCCACTGCGCTATCTTTCCTTAGCATGGTTTAATTTGCTTCTCTTTAAGCTACTCTTAGCATATGCAAGACTTTCTTCTCTTTAGAGAACTCTTCTTATAGGACAGCTACCAAATCTTAACAATATTTTTTTCTTCTAAAACAGGTAGAGACGACAAAAATAAAAGTCTAAATTAGAGTTATTATATTGGCATGTTACACACCCCCTAAATAAAAATGTCAACTAGTCAACTAACCAAGTGTTTTCAACTTGGTTTTTTTTATCATTTTCTATTTCATCCATGCAACTAATTCAAATGGCATATTATATTGATATATTCTAATTTTTTACTCTAATTTCAACGCTTTGGAGAGAGACAAGAGAGAAAATTTTATTTGCCGCCATCCTGCTTGGTTTGAATACAATTTCGTACGCCAAATAAACGTCACTTCATTAATTTCCGTCAAAACTAATTAGCCCCTCTTCTTGACTACATGGAGTCTCTGTTGCATATATACCACCCCCGTATGTTAGGGTGTTTTGTCCTGATTTTCTTATTATGTTTGATTTTTTATTTCTCGAAGGAAATGACAACATATTTATTATAATTAGATTTGTGTTCTTGTGGAAGAAATTACAAACCTCTTATATTTAGCTAGTCCCTTTTCTTTTAAGAAAATATTTGGACTTCTATAAATTAAGGATCCTTCTTTCTCATTCAGTAGCATCCACAATGTAGTCATATGGGGTTTGAGAGTCGTGTTTAGGGGAGAACTTTAACGGGACAAGTGTTAGTGTGTCACTTGTGTTTGACTCTTAGTGAGGTTGTTCTCTCGATATTTTGTACTCTCTTTTATATAGTGTATTGCTCATCTCAATCGTCGACGTAGGTCAATTGACCGAACCATATAAAATGTTTGTGTCTCTTTTGGTATATTTCTCTTTTGTTTTCTGATTTATCGTCGTTCAACGTTTGGTTTGCTAGCTTCTGCATGACATCTGATTATTTCGGTCCTAACTCTGTGTTGGTAGAGTGGAAATCTTTTTTCACGAAAAATGTATCATTTGTTTTTCGGTGATTGAGCATATATTTCCAAAAGAAATATCTATTAAAAATAATTAATAATAGTATAAGCAAATCAAATAATATTTAGATGTGAAATTTTAGTATTAAAACTGGATAACAATATTTGATTGATGCTTGGAGCAAATGACATGAATTTAAAAAATTAAGTTAATTATAACAAAATTAATTTCGGTTCATAAGTGAGGGAATGGTGTAATTTTTTCCCTGAAAAATGGTGTAATTTATTTTTTAATTTCTGAACGTAAACATAGAGAGTACAACAGCATCCACCACCCATAGCCTCAATCCGACATACCGCTAACAACTAAAATAAATAGGTAAAAAAATGAAATGAGAGAATAAATTATTATTTAAATTTATTACAATCTGAGAGTAAACTCTTTACTGATGTAACGCTGTCTACACTGTAATCCCTCTTTATGTGAGATTAGGCTATATTTTGACAAGGTAAGCTCGGCACTAGAATAAAAAATAGAATGCATGTAAATTTCACAACCAACTACTCTTAGACTTGTTACAGTATTTAGGTTAATGCATATGGGTTCACGTGAATCATACTTCTTTTTTAAAATTATATATAATAATATTATATTTTTCAAAATTACTTAAATATATGTGTGTCCACGCATGTTCAAAGACTCCTATAGTGCAACAAATACTGGATGCACATTTACAAGTAAAATTGCTGGTTCAAATCCTACTCTAGACGGTCTTATTTTCGGTACGGAGTATAGATATATAAGTGAAAATCACTAAAAATTTAAAAGAATATAATTTTAAACCTATAATTTCAAAAGTGTTGTGAGCCTAAGGTAAGAGACTATAGTTAAACCGGTCAAATATAAATTCCAGCTCTATTTTTTTATAATAGTGCACTCATCCTCTTGAAATGTTTGATCCACGTCGTTAGTCACTACTTGACTTATGAGGAGGACAAACAAGTGGCTTTTCATACATTGTTGAGTGTGAAACCTCTATCATATGCTTTGAATAGATCATTTGTTTTTTCCGTTAATTTATTTTTCCAATTGGAAACTTGGAAATCTGCTACAATTGGAAAGGGTTTGTCAACCCTTTTCTTCTAGACTGCAGAATCTTAGTATTATTCCAAAAAAGATAAAGTACGTGGGCAAGTTATTACTCCCTCCGTTCTAATTTATGTAAACCTGTTTGACTGAGCACGGAGTTTAAGAGAAAATGAAAACTTTTGGAATTTGTGGTCCTAAACAAGTCAAAAGGGGGCCCAGAGTATTTGTGTGGTTATAAAAGCTTCTCATTCAGGGTAAAATTGTAAGTTTAAGCTAAGTTGTTTCCAAATTTAGAAATGGGTCACTCTTTTTGGAACGTACCAAAAAGGAAATATGTTCACATAAACTGGAACGGAGGGAGTACCATTTGAACAGATCTAGTAGTTTTTACTAGAAAAATCGTGGTGGACTGCATGATACATTTACTGACCGTCGTTGTGACCGGCTCCAAAATCTGCACAAGAAGTGTAGTGTGTAGTATAAGTACAACCGACCCCATGTATTCTGTAAGTGCCAAGCCTAAACTCGACGAAGTAGTGACGAGGCTAAGGCGGGTCACTTACAATAACCTGTAAGCAGTATAATAATAATGACAGGAAAGGAAAGTACGAAAAATAAGGTAGTTAACTCATGAAAATAACTCAATCCTCGAAAACCAGTAAAAACTAGAAATACCAATCCTCAGATCTCGTACGAAGAACCGAAGTCAACATAATACAAGAAGGAATACAAAACACATAAACCGTTGCGGCGTGCAACCCGATCCCACATAAAAAAAGTATGTTGCGGCGTGCAACCCGATCCTACCGTAAAAAAAGTATGTTGCGACACGCAACTCGATCCCACCATATAATCATAGTCAATATCATAATTCTCCCTTATTTCACCTGGTGCGGCGCGCAATCCGATCTCACCGTATCAATATCAATCCTCCCTTATTCCACCTGTTGCGGCGTGCAACCTGATCCACAAATAAAAGCAATAAGTGCAATTAATTTAACAACTCGAATCACAAGAATCTCTACAATTAACGAATATGAAAGCAAAACCATAAAAGAATCTCGTACCAAATCTAGAAAGGCTACAATTAATACTGAGCAACAAGACAAGTCGAATATATGACAGTTAAAGGATACAAGTAAGATAATTAAGGCAAGTCGCAATTAATCATGAAAGAATGGAAGAAATTAATATTTTTAATGCGAGAATAATAAATGACAACTAGCAAGTTAAGGCCTAGGAAGTAATTAAAGCATGTAACATCAAGACATGGGATAAAATAATTAATGAAGTACGGGTAGACATGGAAACAAGTAATTGACAGTGTATATACACTCGTCACCTCGCATATACGCCGCTACACAAGAAGTTCACATAGCACATAGCTCATGGGTTCCTAATTTCCTCAAATCAAGGTTAGACCCAACACTTACCTTGCTCCGCAAGCAAATCAAAGCTCTATCGGGACCTTTCCTCTAAAATCCGCCTCCAAACCGATCGAATCTAACCGAAATCGACTCAATAACATCAAATAATACTAGAGAAATCAATTACAATACATAAAGTTAATATCTTTACCCTTTTTTCAAAAAGTCAACAAAAGTCAACCCCGGGTTCGCTTGGTCAAAATCTCAATTTGAGGTCTAAATCTTAATTTTACAAAAACCCCCCAATTCTTCCCAAATCCCTAATTTTCTACCATGAACGGATAAAAATTAAGGCTACAAATTAATGGGTGATGATGGAAATAGAAGAAAATAAGTTAAAGTACACTAACCTATGAAAAGGTGATGAAATTTCTCCTCCAAATCGCCTCTAGGCCGGGCTCTAATGGAAAGATGGTGAAAAATGGGTGAAATCCCGTGTTTGAAATGTTTTAAGGTCTATGCATCAGGCCTTCTTCGCGTTCACGATGCACAGCGGCCCAATTGGCCTACGTGTTCGCAAGATGTGCCCCACGTTTGTGATGGTTCTTGCCTTCTGACCGTCGCGTTCACGACCCAGCGATCGCGTTCGCTTAGCACACCAGCCCAACTCCCCCAAAGCACACATTCGGGCCTCTAAAGCAAGATTAAAGTGTCCTCTTGGATAAGAAGACCTAAAACATTGGTCAAGGGAAGAAGGTCGGGAAACCCATCCCACACCAATGCTGCTTCTATCTTTTTTTCCAGCAGCATTTGTTTCTCCAAAATTCGGGAAACCATGGATTTTTGAGTTTTCGCCATTGGTTACTGGTTGAGCCACTGGAATCCCCACGCTGAGGGATGAACCTCGCCAAATGATCTTATGGATCACCCATCCCATCTTTTAGGTTCCATTTGGGCAATATGTATCCCGCCTGAACTCCAGTGTAACTTTCGTCTCTGATCGGTGTCTTTTTCAGGACCCAAGGACGAGGGGATCCTTGGGAGTGGACGTGAGGACAAGGGGCTCTACAAAACATCCTTGAGACTTCTGGTCTTATGTCATGCTTCGCGTTCGCGAAGGGCAAGCCCTCCTCCATTTCGTGTTCACATCCAGTACTTCGCGTTTGCGAAGAGCAAAATCCTCCCCAGTCCCAAACTACTCTTCGCGATCACGGAAGTATCTTCGCGATCGCGAAGAAGCATGCACCAGAAACCAGCAGAAGCTAAACCAACATTTTCCTTAAGTTCAAAAAAACATCCTCAACTTAATCGAAACTCACCCGAGCCCTCGAGGCTCCAAACCAAACATGCACAAAAATCCAAAAATATTATTCGAAGTCTCTCGCGTGATCAAAACACCAAAATAACACCTAGAACTACGAATCGGACATCAAAACGAATGAAGTTTTCAAAGAAACTTAAGAACATGCAATTTCTCAATCGGACGTCCGAATCATGTCAAATCAACTCCGTTTTGCACCAAATTTTGCAGACAAGTCATAAATACTGAAATGAACCTATAGCAAGTTCCGGAACTGAAATTCGAACCCGGTAGCAACA